TGGTCAGAATGGAAGCACTTATGAGGGAAAGGACCAGGATATCTGGAGTTATGACTGCCTAGGAAAATCTACATTGTATATAGTTATGGGGCCATCTTAACTGTGAATTTTAGAGCCTGGCAGGGCCAGGTGGACAGAATTTGGTTTTATGAGTTTTTTGAGTTAAAAAAAATCATCTGTCATTTAACTCAAAATACTTTATTTTAGATAGTGTGATTGTATTCTTTTCTCCCTTTCATTTATTTTTAATTGACAAATAATAATTGCATATATTTATGGGCTAAAATGTGATGTTTTGATACATGTTTACATTGTGGAATGAGTAAAGCAAATCAATTAACATACCTATCACCTCACATACTCATTTTTTTGTGGTGAGAATGTGTGTGTTATTTTTAATCAATACCTCAGGGATGGTTAATTAACAATTGAAGTACCCTGATAGGGAATATAATCTCTAGGAGAAGTTGATTAGCTTTTGAAAGATTCTAAACAGATGCCCAAGTTTCAGAATGCTTCACTGTCTTTATTCTAAATCAAAACCAAGACTATATAGATTTTCCTTTGGTGAAATAAGCAGTATCCATGATGTCTGGAATACCTAGAAATAGTGTACAGAGGCCACCTACACTTGCAGGAACAGGATATAGAAATCTGGGGGTGTGCACACAATGTGTATGCCCTTTGTCATGGCGATCTTGGTTTAGATTCCAAAACAGATGTGTTCAGAAAATCATCTGAGAATTACTGTTGCTTTACTTCAACTAGATTTGCCAAATCATGCACCTAAAATACTGTTTGATGTATATAGAATAAATCTTTCATGGAAGGTTTGGTCTGAGTTCCTGAAAAGACAGGGAGCTGGGACTTTATCAAGGTTACAAAACAGTTTGCCTAACTGTTTCTGAGTGCACTTGCTACTAAATGTTTACATAGGCAGCAGAATTTCTATAACATAATGTGGTAACATTGTAAGTTGGGAAGGTTGTGGGGTAGAGGAAGATAAAATGTTATTATATTATGTTAAACAAATAACCTCTACAAATAGTGAAGGGTCGTCCTGCTAATTTGATTCCTGCCTTGAAAATCCTCCTGCTCCAATAATTTTCAGAATCTATTCTCACTCGGGAAGGAGAGGAGAGTTCTTAAATGAATGGATTAAAACAAGGTATAGGGTATCTGAGGCCTGGGAAACGCGAAGTCAATTCTGCTCTAGTCCTATTCCATGCGGAGGACTTGGATGTCTCTACAGCATCAGCCAAAGCCCCCAGGCATGCCCTGTTAAATTTGGGAGCGGGCGAAGGGTGCAGTTATTTGCCAAAATGGTTGGGAGAGGGGCAGAAATATTTCCTTGGGTGAAAATATTCTGTAATAGCAGAATTAACCACTAATCATTTTATATAGTTTGAAGAAAGCTTTTCTTGGCTCACAGATTTAGGCGTCAATAAATAATAATAGGCAACATCGATTGCGGATCATTTTTTTTCTCCTTGTGCTAAGTAGAAAACATACGGTATCTCATGAATGTATGTACATTTCCATTCGACCCTGTGAATGGATGCTTTCATCCCTATTTCATATATAAAGAGGTGTGCAAAGATCATGTTAGGTGTTTGTGCACTCAAGCTTACCTTTCCCTATTTACCACCTATATCCTTATATCCTCTAACTAAGGAGGAATGAGGCAAATCAATTGCAACACGTGTGTCTGAAGCTACAGGTGTTCACAGGAGCCGCACACAGAAAGGGAATCCAGGATCGCGAAAAACGTAACCACATTTTAACACTTAGTTTCCCTCATAACTTCCAGCAACCCTTTGCGATGAACCTCCAGGCAAAGGGAGGCTGCCCAAAAGGGCGAGTCTCTTGCAGATGAGCCAATGAGATGGCTGGATCTTGTGAGTGGCACGTCACTTGGCCAATGAGCTCAGCTCCTGGCGTTGCGAGGACCGGAAATTGGAGTCTGAAGTACGTGGGTCCTCTAGCGTGGCAGGTGGGTTGAGCGCAGTGTTCTTCTGAGGCGCCGCACAGTGGGTCGAAGGCTCGTGCCCAAGTGAGAGGACGCGCCCTAGGTGTGGAAGGCCAGGAAGGCCAAGGTCGCTCTGGCACAGGCTGGGGTGAGCTTTGGCTTAAACACGTGTTGTGAGCGGCGCCTTCCCGCCCACTCCGGACCTCGTCCCCTCCCCCCCAGGCGCGAGGTGCCCGGGCCCTGAGGTGGGGCCGGGGGCGGGGCTGGAAGTCGTTATTTGAGGCTGGGGGTGTGGGAGGAACACAGGACCCTCGAAAAGGCTGGGAAAGGTGGTGGCCCCAGGAAGGAGGGCCCTTACAAGGGGTGTGGAGTGGGCGTGTTGTTTGGACGGAAACAGTGGGCAGGACCCCTGCAGAGCCGTTGGTTTGGGGAAGGGTACTTGTCTCTCAAAGCCTCTCTTCTGGTTAGGCCCGGGTCACTGTGCCCCGGCGCAGAGCACAGCCTAGGAGAGGCGGAGCAGGTAGGTCTTGCCTGTCCTGGGACCCTTACCTGTTGAATCTCTTGGGTTAGCCAAGTGTCTGCTAACTAATCACAGGAGAAAGTCCACATTAGGACTTAC